TGACCAGTAGTAATGGAGTTGCTAAGAAGGCCCCTCCTCTCCACCAGCCAGGTGGCTAAGTGCAGAAGCCTTGTGTCCTTGTCCCCAGGAACTATCTCTATCATGTCTGTCTGTCCCCATGAACCCTGACCTCCAGCTTTTCTTTCTTGCAGCTCCTCGTTCACACTACCTGGCTGACAGTGGTATGTCCTACCTGCCCTGCTTTCAGTTCGTGGTATCCTGTGAGGGTACTGTCAAGATGGCTGTAGTCTCCCAGATCTCTGCTGGCTGTACAGTGTAGATGTCTTGGCACAGTCCAGATCTCAAAGAGCTGACCCCACCATAGTTGTGAGATAACAAGGCTCCACTTGGGGTTCTAGAACCAAGGCTGCCATGCCCAACAGCTTCCAAAGAGGAAGAAAGAGCACCTCTTCCACCCACCTGGGAGCCATCCTCTCTGCTTCTGAGCTCAACTCCAATTTCCAGGCCTTTGACCAGAGCTACCATCTGGACTGGACAGATGGGTTCATCATAGGATAGATGTGTATAGGTTAAGGAATGGGTGTGAGTAGGTGTCTCTGGTGGGCCTAGAATTCTGCAGGGAAGGGGTCAAGTTGCAGGTCTGGAGAGCATCAGGAAGAATGGAGGCCTCTGGCTCTACCCCTTCCCACTGGGTTATGGGTAATACTGGCCATTTATAACCAAATGTCTCCAAGGAGAGTGGTGACCCCTAGTTTAGAGCTCCTGGTAATTGTTCTGGATCCTTCTTTTCAGATCCTCTTATCTCCAAATCTGCCTCTCTGCCTGCCTACAGGAGAAATGGGCTGCACAGGGTAAGAGGGGCTCTGCTGGGGCGGGGGACCACCCCCAGATCCCAACACCAGGCCATTATTCTGGCAGCTGCTTTTGAGTAAGACTGGAGGGAAAATCTTGGGGCTAGAAGTGAACCCAGTGAAGGGACCCGATGGCAAAGACTTGCGTACCTCAATTATGACCCCTGTGTGAAAGGAGGCTCTCATGGAGAGACCAGGGAAAACTTGTACTCATTGAGCAAGAATCCCGTGCTGGCACTGAACTTTACCAGCACCTATTCATGTGACCTTCACAGCCCAGAGAAGGGGGTTACTAGTATTGACTATATTTTGTGGATGCAGGAATGGAGGCAGAGGGCTGAGGTGACTGGCCCAAGCTCATACCCAGCAGTCATGGAGCCAGACCAACTGAATCTGCAACCCATACCTGACTGCTGTGCCCCAACATAGCATTGTAGTCTTCTGAGTTACATAAGCTCTAGAGCCTGTGACATAAAAACTTCATGGAAGTAGTGAACTGGCTTAAAGTCTGCAAGGGAATAAAAACTTGTCTTGTTAGCAATAAGATGGATCTGGAAGCTGTGAAACTGAACAAGTTACAGGAGCCAAGGACAGGAACATTGGGATAGATGTTGAATTATTGAGCACCCACTAAGTCTCGGGCACTGTTTCAGGTACTGGAGATCCTGCAATGAAAGCAGCTGCTGCTCCTATGGAGCTCATATTCTAGTTGGTAGATAAACAATGAACAAGAAAATGTGTGACATGATATCAGGTTGTTGGAAGTACTAGAGTGGAAAACAGAGCCAGGGAATAAAGAAGGGAAGTCAGAGAGGAGGTGAATTCAGACAAAGGCTTGAGTGTGGAGAGAGAACCTCATCACCTGGTGATCTGCAAGAGCCATCCAGATGCAGGGAAGTACAACGTCTAAGTCCTTGAGTAGTGATGGCAAAGTGGTCCTGAACCATGTGACCAGGATGGAAGGAATAAGGTGGTGAAGCCAGGCAGGAACCTCATTAGGGCCTTGTACACCAAGTAAGGACTTCAGAGTTCAGTGGATGTACTGAGATCCAAAGGATCCCTCTGCCCAATGTGTGGAATGGAGACTACAGACGGGCAGAAATGGAAACCCTAGATCCATTAGGAGACTATTGTGGGGTGGAGCACACAAAAATGACGACAGCACTGCTACAGAGCAGTGGCTGGTGTTGAGAACCCCTGCCTGCTGCGCACGCTGTCCTCCACACACTGGAGGCTAGACACTCCTTCATTCAGCAGAGGTTTATTGAAAGCCTCTTCTATGCACCAGGTACAATTCAGGGTGCTTGGAACACAGCAGAACAAAGACTTCTGCCCCTCGGAGCTTATATTCTTCTAGGAACAACAGAAAGTAGGAAGTAAATAGGAAACAAGTCGGATCATATAGAATGTTAGAAGACAGTGCTATTTTTTTAAAAAAAGATGAGGGGCTAGGGATATAGCTCAGTTGGTAGAGTGCTTGCCTCGCATGCACAAGGCACTGGGTTCAATCATGGGCACCACAAAAAAGTAAAAGAGAGGAGCAGAATAAGATTGAGAGTTTATCAAGGGGGCAACTTGGAATTCTCAATAGGGTTGTAAGGAAAGACCTCATAGACCAATGAAAGAAAGCACAAGATAAAATTCACCAAATGAATATATTGAGTATATATTCAGTGCCTACTGTGTGCTAGGAATAGGCACCAGAAGCTGGCAGCAAGCTCAGTTCCTTGACTGGAGATGGGGACTGCTGAGATGGCCCCGTGCCCCACCCCCTCCCTGGTGCATGTCCTGAGATGGGCGAGTGCTTCCAGGAGGCTCAGGCCAGCCCTGGCTTTGTCTCTCCTGCAGACACCCAGCGCAGACCTCTTCCACTACGACAGCATGAACGCGGTCAACTGGGGCATGCGAGGTAAGCACGTTCACTGGGGTTGCAGGAGGAGGTCCCTCCTGGGACTTCCCAGGGACTCCGGATGCACTGCTCATAGCTGCTGCTTGACCTTTGGCAAACAATTCCTACAGATTCTGTCCCCGTGCTGGGCTCTGTGCAAACCCCAAGTTCCCACTCCCTTCCACTTCCACTCCCTCCTTTGCCCTACTCTTCCCTCATCCTCTCAATTCCCTGGCCTTGGGTGATCTCCAGGCCATCTGTCCCATCTGGTTTCCCAGAGCCATCACAGAATGCTGAATCTCCCTGTACTGCTGAGCTAAAGCCGCCTGCCAGCCCTGGTGGAGGGAAACACTCAGAGCCAAATATACATGGTTCCCAGGAAAAAAATTCCATGAGCTTCACGCCCTTTGTCAGGGAAGCTCCCACACCAGCCTCTACCAGCAGCTCCGAGCAGGCACATCAAAACCTTGGAGGATTCCCCCCAAAAGGGGAAGATCCCTCCCACATGCTTCCCAGTCTCACATTCTTCTTATTTCTATTCTAAATATCTGAAAAGCTCTTTTTCCCTTAAAACCAACCCAAAATGAGCTCAGCCCTATCTCCAGCCACCCTCCATGGTCATACTAGACCTGACTATCCTCCATGATGAATTCAGCAAGGACAGAGTCTCTGGATGGTCACGAGCAAGGCATGTGTGGAGGCCAGACCTCCCAGGAGACTGAGGCAGAGGCCACTGTGGTAATGCAAAGCAAGAGTTATGGATCCTACTCTGTGCATGTCTTTTCTCTCTGCAGAGTACAAGGTAAAGGACACATAGACCCTGGGGGTCTCCTGATGCTTGGAGCCAGTACCTTGGGGACCAGCAAGAGGATGACAGCACTGTCTATTCAGGGAAGGGAACATAGATGAATCACCCCTGGGTCATTTTGAGACTAACATTCCCTGTCCTTCTGTGGCCCACCATCCCTGGATCCTGCCCTAGGTCTTCTGACAACTGGTTAGACTATCTCCCTGGTCCTCAAAGACTGGGGGATTACCAGGCCACCAAATATTAGACTTAAATTCAGGAGACTCTTTGCCCACATTAATGCCAAATGCCACCAAGCTTTTCCCTAGCAGTTTTAGGGGATGCTGTGGGGACTTACATTTTGGGAGAAGATACCTTAAGATTGACAGGCAACTCAAAGAAGGGCAAGTCCAGCCCTTCCTCCAGACTTAAACACTGACCCTTTCTGGCTAGAGGAAGGAGCCCAGACACAAATTGTTGCTGAAAGAAACAGGCCTACCCCCCTCCCCCAAGCTGGAAACACCTTCTACCTTTCTCCTTAGATCTATCCCTATGAACTGCTGCTGGTGACCACAAGAGGGAGAAACCGACTGCCCAAGGATGTGGACCGGACACGCTTGGAGGTAAGTCCAGTAAACTGAACAGGAGCCTTTGAGTTTGAAGGGATCCAAAGTTGTCTGGCCCAATCCAGTTCAGGATAGGGAACAGACAATACATGGCTTTAAGGCCCCATAGATTGGAGCGGTTTCCTCCGTCCAAGGCTGTTCCATGCTGCTGTGTGCAGCCTCCTCTTCAGCACAAATGACACCTCAGATGCTGGGCAGCAGCATGTCCTCACCCAGTGCTGACATTCTGCATACACCAGACACAGGACAAGAGATAGATTTGGGCCCCACCCTCAAGGGGCCTGCAGTCTCAGAGCTGTACATAAAGCTAGTGCTTGTGATGGGGAAAGTCAGGGAGGTGGCACTGCATAAATAAGTCCAGAGTGAAACCCCCCGGGTCCACACTGCTCCTGCCATCACTAGGTGGGCAGGCGTAGCCAAGCCACAATCTCATTAAACTTTAGTTTTCTCCTTGCACAGTGAGGAAGAGAGAGAAATAAATGATTAATAAACAATACACACCAAGCCCTCAGCACAGAGTCTGATGACCAAATGAATAGTCAGTACCTGGAAGAGGTTAGTTTGCTGCTATTCAGACAGGGCTAGTTTGTGAGACACAGGCTGAAACAGGGAGGATTTGGATGGACTTGGAAGGTGGGTAGGGTTTGGATGGAGAGAGGGAAGGAAGCACCATGAGGAGTAGCATCTGTATAGATAAAGGCACAGTCACTGTGGCCTGGGCATGGTGTCGGGCATTCAAGCAGTGCAGTTTGCTTGATGTGGAGTGCCACATCAAGCGCCACACTGGTCGCCTATGGTATGGGGCATGCTTCACCCTCTCCCTCGACATGCTTCTCCCAGTCTCTCCCTCTTCTTCCCTCTCCCTGGAGTGACCTTCCCAGGCTGTGAACCTTCTGGCTCCTCAGGGCTCCACACTTGTGATCTCAGTACCCCATGCCCTCCTGTAGTCCTCCCGCAGGGTGGGTCACTCATCTGTTCCTCCAGCCTCCCTTAGCCTGTGGCCAGGGGTGGACTCAGTACTTCTCATTCTCCTTTTATTACATCATCGACTTACCCGTTTCCTCTGCCTGACCCAGATCTTCCAAGGGGCAAAGATTGTCTGTCTTCTACCACAGGACCTGGGGTTGGGAGAGATGTCAGGAAATGTTTGTGGAATGGAGGCGGGCTTCTAAAAGAAGAGGCTCAAGCTCTTCCAG